GGGAAGAGGTGACCTAGCATACACGAAGGCACGTGCGCGATGCGAACCCCTTCCTTCTTGAAGATCCGCGCCAACATCTCGCTGGTACCCCGAATGTATGGGACCGGTTTGTGTTTCGGGGGGGGGGGGGGGGGGGGGGCTGCCAATGAAGGTTGATTGAGGTTTTCATATCTTCTGTTGCTTTGTGCGGTGAGTGGCGGCTCAAATAAAGTTTTTAGGGTATCCGTCTTTTCTGAGGTCCGCAATCACGTGGGCCTCTTCTTTCTTTCACTCTGTGTTATTGGAGCATAAGTTCTTGGCTCCTTGGAGTAGCGTGGTCACAACCGAGGCCTTGTGGCAGGCGGGGGGGGGGGGGGGAGAATCAAATTGAAGGTAGCGGCCAGTGTGTGTTGGTTATTATTCTAGACATGGCACATACAGAGGACAGCCCCACTCTGTCGGAACTCTTCTCCCAGTGTATACACATGGACTGCGCTCCACAGCAAAACAAGAGAGAGAGAGGGGGGGGGGGGGTCATTATTCACCTCGCAAGTGCTTTGAAGAAGGGGCTGCTCTCGGTTTCATACCCAACCAGACAGACTTCTGTCGAATGTTTGTATTCAAGTAAAGAAAGTGTGTGCTTTGGCTTCATAGCCTTGGCTGTGCTGTCACAAAAAGTTGTCGTGAGGCACAGGTGCCAAATAGCTGGTATACTGTGGAATATCCTTGATGTGCTGATGAAGAACATGGTGTGTAAACAATATTGGCATTCACATTGTTGCTTTCAGAGCTTATACAATATTCTTACAATGTCCACCTATTGCAGCAAATCATTCTTGCATCACCTGGTAAATGCTAGAGAAACCACCTCAATGTAACTGATGGTAGCACACCCACAATCGAATGCAACCCCTATATAGAACAGCATTGTTTCAGTTTCATGCAAAATGCTACAGATACTCGAAGTGTCTGTTACCATTCCATAGCATACAGGGATGGACACAGGATTTTTCATAAGGGGATCAGCTTAACAAGGAACCTCTGATGTTCTCTTCTTGTAGTATACATTAAAGAAAAATGCCGGCGTGGGCAATCGGGACTTCCAGGCCTCCCTTTTGAATATTAATAGGTCGGCAGACTCACTCATGAGTTGACCCACTCAGTCTCCAAGCAAGTCAACTCAGTGAGTCCGGTTGAGCAATATATTGGTCAGCTTGAGCTCGTGTGAGTCCGGTTGAAGAAAGTTTTAGCGACTCTAAGTCAGTGTGAGCTCTAAATTGAAAATACAGTAAAACCTCGTAATTCGAAGTTACTGGGACTGTGAAAAATTTTGAGTTAAGTGGGTTTATTAATTAACAAAATGTACAATAATGGGATGAAAGGAACTTTAATTATTGAAGGAAGGAACTTTGAATTATAGATCAATGGAATTCACTGCCATGCAGCATTGCCACTATCAACGATCATCAGTCTTTTCAATTAGCGCTCCACTGGTTTCTTGAACGAGATAACAGTTTTCAATGGATAACTTATTTGTATTTTATTCTGGTCTTTGATAGTGTTCATTTGTGAAATGTTATTGTTTATTTGTGAAACGTTACTAGTTATATGTGAAATGTTATTGTTTCTGTAATATATTTCTAGTTTTTCTTTCTGATTGCTGTGTTCCTGAAATGAAATTCTATTTCATTTCTTATGAATCCCCCCTTATGTAATGCCTTCGGGAGCTTAGGTTATGCAAATAAATAAATAAATAAAAGTAATCGGAAGTGGTCGTTTGCGGTGCTGGCTAGTTTGCAGCTCCAAGGGTTATGTTGTGCCACAGTACCTGGGCCGAATTTTGTCGCAAACATGGGTAAACGGCGAGCACTGCTGCTGCCAGGGCAAAAAAATTAAAAAAAAGGAAGCCTCGTTGTCAGCTAAAATATGTACCAACTCGCCCAAGCAACCATGTTACTTGCTGAAAAGGTGTGCTTCTGTGCAACACAGCGGTAACACATAGGCTGCATGTTACTTGCTGTTGCCACTGTTTGCCCATTATTTCTGGCGAAATAATTTAATAATGGCCAGTATAACGATATGTCCTACATGTTGTGGCTGGAAAACATAATCACTGAAGTTTTCCAGCTCATTTTTCGAAGTAGTTGTTACAGGCAGGAACTCCGCCAGCAGTGCAAGTGTGCAAATTGCTGGACAACCACCAGCAAAAGTTTGCATACATCGTGAATTGAATTGGGCTGACCTTTGATAATTTCTTTATATTTCCAGAATGAATGGGTGAATCATGATATGCTGACATTGTTACGGGAAGGAAGCATGTGACGTGTTTTTGGCGTGTCACTACTGTGGTGGAGTAAAGCAAATCTTTTTCACAGCTGCACATCTCAGTCAATCATAAAACCACCTTTTTATTTTATTTTTTTTGCACTGCCAGAAGCAGGAATACAGTGCTTTATTTGTCACTCACCATTATCACTACATTGCATTGCCTTGTGGTTCCTAAGGGCCATCATCCCTGCGGAATCGCAGTGAAATAAGAATTGGGGATCGGTACATGGCACCCAAAGTTTTCGAGTTAACTGTAGTGGTGCTGACCGCACCTTAAAGTTATCAACTCAAATTTATATTCCAAAATACAGGACAGCAGGAATGCTTTGAATCGAGCGCAATTTCAAAATAACTGAATTCAGATTAGCTTGGTTTTAAAGTATATTTTTTGAGCCCTCGGTGAGCTCCACCTTTTATGGCCAACCCGTGGCCTTATTTACTCACTTGTAAGCATTACTTGGCCCTATGTTGGCTCCTGTTTATACTCAAATCTATTCAAACAAGCCTCAATACAATAGTGCTTATGGGTCACCTCTGTGTTTATTGATAAGAGAAGTGAGTTTAATTGGAGTTCTATGACTTCCCCCATAAACTCCTTGACGGGATATTCTTGAAAAAGATATCTTGTGTGAGCAATAAAATGCATCTTCACTGGATTTCACTCACTGATAACTCTTATTTTAAGCTGCAAGGTCAAAAGGTGCGTCGTAAAGCACCGAATATGTGGGGTGTTGGCGTTAAAAAAGACTTAAACTAATATCAGAGAAGCCGATGTTACGTCAGTAGACTTACGGGTCGACTCACTGAGGCTCGCTCAGACTCGGGTCATAGCCATGAGTCTGAGCGAGTCCAGCTGAGCAGTATGTTGGGGAATCTGAGTGAATGCAGCGAGTCTATGTTTGAGTAAGTCCGTTTGAAGGAAATTTCAGTGAGTGCCAGTTGGAGCTCTCTGATTAAAATATATTTCTTGAGTGAGTCTCAGTCAGTTTCTCTATTTTCGCGAACCTATGGTCATAGCACATTGAATGCTTCAATAATACGCATCGTGAAGCAGTATAGGTGCAAAGCATTCAACCAATGGTACCTCGTTAAACATCACTATAGGAAACAAAAACGTGCTGCTCCAGAATCATTCCGTTTGGTGAGAACCGTTGAGCTATCCATCAAGCATGCAGTTCTGATAGCAAGGCAGTGTAAGCGGTAGCATAACAATGATGGCAGTAGCAGTGCAGGCATGCATGAATAGCCGTGATGCAGCTGTGAAGCTCCTGCACGAAGCCAGCAGCATGGTTCTCTCTTAGAGGCCGATTTTGATGTGAGCTTTGCTTTCCTAAAAACCGGCCCGCCCTGTGATTATTTTCAAATCAATTTTATAGATAGCCTCGAAACGCTTTCTTTGCTTGCCAGAATTATTGGGGACATTGTGTGTGCGATATCAAGTTTTGCAAGGGGACAAAAGTGACAGAACTTAGGTGCCACTGCAGCATCTGCTTGCGTGCTGTGGATCGTGTCTGTTTGTCCGACGCTTCCATGGTGGAGTGTGTAATGTCTTTCTCTATGTGGGCGGGCGTGTGATGGGTCGTAAACGTTGTTGGGTTGTGGGCCCTAAAGGATTCATTGCATATTCACCATAACAGCCACTAAACACGTACTCGTAGCTGATTACACTTCGTCTCGATGGCTGAGTGTTTTAGCTACACTCAAACAACAGATCGAGTAAAAAGGGCTTCTTTTTGTCCTACAGCAATTATCCTTATCTATGTTGCTTTCCTTTTCCGGCATTATCGCCACCCGCCCGGTACTTCCAGGTCACGAACGACATGCAAATTATTAGCCTGACATAGCGGTCTTGATAGGAAAGGGGCCAGTGCCGAGTTTTCAAGAAAGGAAGCGCAAGCAAGCTGGGATTTTCCACAGTGCCATCTGGCAGCATTATAAGCAACTAGGCAAACAGATGCAAAAACCTGTTCTGCTTCATCAAAGCGGAATGGCAATGCTCTCATTGACGCCTGAACAGTAGCTGTCTTTGTCCGACAGCTACAAGGAGCTTTTGCATGTAGCATGACGAGTGACAGACATGGTGTGGTATCAGCACCTATCTGCTGAGCGTCTGTTCAGCAGCTCCGCAGTTTTTGTACTCCTCGCTGGCGGTACTGGCACGCCTTTCAGGATTTGCAGTTCTTTCAGGGTAGTACGTCATACGTCATATGTAGACAGTACACTCCGTTTGGTTTTGATGTTTTGCCTTTTTGCTTATTGAAAATTATTTTCCAATTGGCTGAGGATTTCAGCGATCTGGCACCTGACAAGAGTATCTCAAAAACATAGAAGTGCAAATACCCTGAAAGGGTAAAAAAAAATTGCCGGAGTTGGCCTCTGAAGTGCTCAGCGGTGTGCTTTTATGCTCTAAAAAGTGCTGGGCTGGTTAACATTTCATTATCGAAATTGCAGGTATGAAAGAACATATAGGTGCTGTTTGAATGCCAGTAATGTGGAGGGTGTGTTTGCATCACAAAAACTGTCCTGTGTGCGGTTTACAGAGTCTCCATTTGTAGGATTCCAGCACAATAAGAGGCTTTTCTTTCCAAATGAAGCATTTTTCCTGAGCTGTACAACTTCTGGATTTTCTGTGCACTGCGTGACATGAATAGAGCTTAGCTTGCGTGCTAATCATGCATCTTCTTTTCTTCCAGCTGTCTCCTTTAGACAAAGCAAGGCTAGACCTGACGCTACTGTACAGTCTAAACTCCCTCTTTTGGAGTAAGTATGTGCTGTTGGTGCCTGCTCATTGAGCCTACATGAAGGTGCTACATCATAGCAGTTTTTCAACAAATTTACTACATAGGTGGGGTGCTGCATAAGTGGGTTACAGTACAAGGCGTTGATTATGAGAACTACAGACATGTATAGTGAGCATTAAATGAATTTGGAGCTTTGAAGGGCCACTCACCAGGCCCCATACCAAATTTTAGTTAGTGTAAGTTGTTGGGTGTCGGATGAGGAACATTTTGCCACAAAGATTTTTTCAATCTGTTTATCACGAGCGGAGAAAACGGGTTTTTTTTAAGTGGCACAAAACGAGGATGAGAGGAGGTGAGCTCGAAATCCTTGCCGCTGCTGCCGCGTAGCCTTCGCAAGCCAAATCTCTTCCCCACCCTCTTCGGCATCCGACCAAGAGATGACGTGCGCATCACGTGCCCAAACAAGTGCAACCCTTGAGCACACGAGTGGCGTTGCTTTGTTGACCAGCGTTATTTTGTGGTCTTCTGCCTGTTTCTGCCGAATGGTTTAGAAACGCTTGCTTAGACGTGGTAGGATAGATGAGGACAATAAATGCGCAAGCGCATAGGTGCGTTCCACAGTGGTCGTCTGCTCGATGTGCTAACCGCGGGTACACGAACGCATGCGAAACGCCGATACATTAGCTCCGCATTTCGCTGCAATTAACGGGAGAAAATGAAAAAAAGACGCTCACATTCCCTTATTGTGTTTCATTATTTATCTATAGCGTTATTAATCTTTTTAAGCAACAAATTACATAAACTACGCATGCCGTGTTAAATAATTTTCACTATGTCACGTGCCACTGTTTGTAACGTCAGAGCAGAGTTGTCTACGTAAAGGACTAATATCACTGCATTGCTGTATATGTAGGGCCATTCATACGCGCACCTCATGCCCTCATTCTCTGGGCGCGCGCCGGCACAAGGAAGGGGGAGCAGCGTTCATCTTAAAATTTGACCCATTTCTACGGTGGGTAGCGTTGCAAATTTCAGCAGACGTGATCATGAACGCCTCATCTACGCATTGCACTTGTCAGCTCAAAATTGGCGAACCTGATGAGTGGCCCTTTGAGAAGGATACCCGTACATCCAAAACAGGCAGATATTCAGCAGAAGATTTTTCAAGACATAAGAGGTTGTCTTCTTTGAGACACCAACTGAAAGAAGACAAGTCTGCTTGTTAAAACATTGGTTCCAGTGTTCTCATCTATTCAAGAATAGCTGTACTAGTATCATAAAGTATGCATAAATGTTGGCTTTTCCCCAAATGTCTTAAGATCTTATTTTAACACTCTATATTAGCATGGAAAATACAGCAACTTTGCATAGTTTCTCTAAATGTGGCATCAGAATGAATTTAGTCATATTAATAAATGGTGATCTCTGCATGATATCTAGATAGTGATGGATTTCCCATAGCGTCAATTCGATAGTTGGTGTGAGGCCTTTCACTGGGGACACAGGTTTTGTAATGTTGTATGCATTGCCTTTAACCGTGAATTCTGTAGGTGTTCTCTTTGAACAGTGTTATTTTGCTTTCACTTCATGTGTGTGGACACTCGGCAATTACCAAATCTGAAAAAATGTAGTTAAAGTTATCGGCAGCATGGTACTTCAACTCAGTATTGCAGTGTGAGCCAAGCAATAACTTTTACTGTCACCTGACATTATTCTTATTTCCTGCTCATGGGGTTCCTTGTTCATAGAGAGTGACTTGTTCTTCGTGTTGTGCTACCAGCAACAACATGTCACAAGCACTGATTCACCTACAATTGTTGGTGTTTCATGACAACGTAGGAAGTGGACAGTTCCGGAAATTTCAACCATCTTCATGGGGTTGCTTAATGTGCACCCAGATCTGAGGGCCTCAGGTGTTGATTCACCTTCTAGTAGCAGCCGTGCAGGGTCATCCTACTCATCAGTGAAATTGTAGATGCCGCACACTAAAACATAAAATTACCATGAGCTATCTCACCTAAAAGGGACACCTAAAAGGGACACAAAAAGGAAGCTAGTACCCTTGCTGTCTCGTTTAGAAAGAACCAACTAGCTCAGCTCTTTCTTGTTTTAAACTTTATCTGACCTAGATCGAAGCAGTTCGTGCTTGTGAAGTACTACATTATACATAATGTTCAGTCTTTCAACGTTTTACTAGGAAGGCCTGCCTTCATTAGCAAATACCTCGGGGAATCGACTAACGAAGGCAGGCCCTCCTGCCCAAACATTGAAAGAAATCAACATTTTTGCACGTTCATTCAATGCATGCATGCACATACACACATACATACGTACATACATACATACATACATACATACATACATACATACATACATACATACATACATACATACATACATACATACATAAAGGACTTGAAAAGGAATATGCGAGAAGTCCGGGTAATTTTGCATTAAATGAAGTTGAAGGTAGCACACATTGAAAAGAAAAATGCTTTTACTAACGTTTCAGTCGTGGCATGGCCTTTCATCAGACTGAGTAGGTCTATTACACTGCAGCGTTTTTATGGGCTCACTTGTCAAACTATCAGTACAGCAGCTAGTGTACTGGAAGTAAAATAGCAATTGATAGTGGTTGAAAAAGACTGTTAAGGGGAGATGCGGGTCGAAAAACGCGAGTTGTTTTTCAAAATTACCGATTTTTTATTTTTGCCTGTTTTTATAAGATTAGTACCTCTACTGTTATGAAAAAAGTAATACAGGCCGAGACATTACTGGAAATGCTTTAAAATTGCATCTAAAGAGCACAAGGCTCCTGTTAAAAGGTCCAAAGTGGGCAGTCTTCAAACACCTTGCCGCCGATAATGCGCCGCCGCTCGCTATTGTTGATCGCACGAGTCGAAGAAACGAGCCTCACTCTTCAAATAACAACAGTTTCTCTCGCTGATGTAGCGCAAGAAATAATTAAAAAAAAACACTCTTCTGCACGTTTTTCGGGCGCCGCAACTGGCTTATCACATGGTACGAATCGGGGACCGCCATTGGCCACTGCGCACCTGCATGTGATGTGACACCTATTTGTGGGGTCCACGTCTTGTTGGGCAGCGCAGCGCAGCTGAACAATGCTTTTCTCGTGTAATTATCTCCGTTATGAATCAAAAAAGGCATTGCTCACAAGTGAAAGCCGTTGTGCGGCGCGCTCTGTAGGAATAGGCTATGGGCAGCTGGTCCGATTTGCGGCAGTTGTTGGCTTGCAAAAGCCAATGCATCAAAAGTCATTCACACCCGTCAGCCGGAAAGTTCGTGATGCTGCAATGGATGACATCAGCGCCAATCTTGAAAGGTCGAAAGAGCTCGCAGTGAGAGAACTTAGCAGGGACGACATTGCCATTATGTACGACAGTATGTGGCACAAACATGGCGGCAAAATGGTATGACAGGGGACTTAGTTTGGCTTTCGCAGTTCTGTCAAACTTCTTGCAGTTGACACAAGGCTCTGCCAGATGGAGCGGAAGTTTGGCAAACATTTCATGGCCCTGTCTGTGGGCGAAATGTCTGTGAGGAGTCGGCTCGAAAAAGCTGAGAGGGACAAACTCATGGTGCTGCCGTATTTTAGTCGCAGTGGCCACTACAAGAAGGATTGTTCTTTTAGATGCGGAAGCATCTTATACTCGCGCCTTGCAGTGCGCCGTCCGCGCCGTCCGCACCGCTTCTCAAACATTCGACAGCTGACGCGCGCGCATGCGCCGTCGCCCACCATTTGTGCCGCGCGCGCTTCTCCTTCGAGAACATTCGACAGCTGACAGCGCATGCGCCGTCGCGCCGTCGCCATCTGTGCCGCGCGCGCGCTTCTCCTTCGAGAACATTCAACAGCTGACAGTGCATGCGCCGTCGCGCTGTATATATACTCAAGGTCGGCGCTCGCTCGCTCAGTTGCCGATCGTCGGTTGGTTTGTACGGCGCGTCGACGTCCAAGGTCGCGGTGAAATGAATTCCAACAAATCCACAAACACATTGATCGACGTCCCTTCGACCAGCGCCGTCCTTTCGCATACGTGTGTACGTGTTCACTCATTTAACACCCCCTCCTACAACCACGTTAACCAATTTAGCCATCGACCCAAGTAAGTCGCAATTTAACACCCTATTTCACAACCACGTTAACCAATTTAGCCATCGACCCAAGTAAGTCGCACTTTAACACCCCGTTAACCAATTATATGCTCCGCATCCTCCTCAGTGTTCCCCCGAGGGAAGCTGCGGGCAATTTTTTTTGGTGTGCAAATTTCGTCTGATTTAATGATATCTTTCATTAATAAAAACTCAATTTTAACTTTAGAACTCGTTTTTCTCAAAACACAAATTTTGCCATTTTTTTCAATGTACCTCTCCTTTTTCGGGCACTTCTAGTGCTCGGATCTGCATGATATTTTGCCCAAGATTTTTCCAAGTATGACAAATGCCATTATCTAGTTTAAATTTCAATATTTTATTGTACAATAAAAAAAATGTATGTGTACCTTTACTAGGGTAGGTGAAATATGGACTTTTTACGTCTATTATTTTTCACGGGTATTACATATTTTGTATGTGCTTCCTAACTAGTTATTTGCACTCTACACTTTATTTGAAGCATTATGAACTATGAATGGTAAAAAATTACAGAAGTTTAGGGATAAAAAGCCGGGGAGGCAGAAGGGTTAAGGTTTTCACTTTGTAATGTTGCAGAGCTAAAAGTGTATAACTTGCAAGAAAATTAATTATATATTTGAAATCAGCATAAAAATTTCCATAAACAGCTCAAGTTTCATTGCTCTAGGGTGAATATTAAAAAAAGTGCATTCGAGTAGCATCTCCCCTTAAGATGGCAAGCATGATACTTACATGAATATACAAGTTTCAGATGTTGTCTGCGTATCAACAGTGTGGTGCACGGTGTGGATGACAGGTTATGTGTAAGAAGAAGGAAAAAGCACAGGGCAAAAAGAACGGCCATCACAAAAAAACAAATTAATGATAGGAAAATCCATGCTAGTTATTGCCAGATAGGTGATCTTTCCTACGTTTACATTGATACCACGACGAGTTGTATTATGAATCAAGGATTCTCTTACTTTCCCATCATGGTTCATTTTGAAGTCAGACTGAATAATGGTAGCCCTAATTTTATCGAAACCGTGGCCAGGTATACTGACATGCTTGGACAACTGTAGATCGGGGGGCTTACGGCTTGTGCACGATGATTATTAAAAGGAATTCTGAAACTAGTTTTTGTTTGACCTATGTATTGAGCTTGGCATGTCGTACACTCTTAGAGCATTAGCACTGTCCTATGTGTAGTCACTGTTGATTGCTAGTGAAAAGTTGGAGGAAGTACTTGATACTGTTTTAGATGGGGTCGCGTGCGCGCGCACATTGCAACGTGGTTTTTTGCTGGAATGACATCCTTCATGAAATGAACGTGTGGTTCTAGATTAAGTTAATAAATCACGGAAGTTCCGCGATCATCGGTAGACCACGCGTTGTTCGTTTGGTGAAGATTTCTTTCAGCCTTTCACTCTGCATTAAAATGTTAAAATGTTTCTTTAAAATGTGATTGACATTTGGAGCTGAGGCCGCATGTGACAAAATTAGGTTAGTACGTGAAGTTTCCTCTGATATTTTGTTAGTACCCAGAAAATCTGAACGGCCTAGCTCTTCTGCACGTTTGATTGCTTCTGTGATTATACTGGACAGATAACTTTGTTTTGCAAGCGTATTTCGAAGTTGGTTACAGTGGTGGGAAAATTCGCGTCTATCAAAGCATATCCTTCTAAAACGAAGTACTTGGCTGTAGGGAGTACTAGATTTACAGAATACTGTAGGGAAACTATGGAATACTAGTTTTATTGTGTTTATCATGGCTACTACTAAAATGAAGGTACTGCTGCCGATCTGTGGGTTTCCTGTAAAGATTAGTTATCAGCTTCCTATTACGAAGAGTGACCATGACATCAAGAAAGTTTATGTTGACAGGCGAATACGAAAAAGAAATTGTCGGATGAGTGTCGTTGAAAGCTGCTATTAAAGAAGTCGCAACTCACTATGATGCCAGATTATGTAAATGTCATCAATGAACTGCTTGTAGTAAAATAGCTTATATTTGTCATTCAGAAGAAATTGGTTTTCAAGGAGCCCCATAAATGTATTCGTATAGATTGGTCCGATTGCTGTGCCCTAAGATGAACCGCAAATTTGAACATATTGTGTCCCATCAAATTTAAAATATCAAGTTCTCCAGAATTGGGAGCTTAAGCAATGTAGCTAACACGGATGCGTAAACTGGTTGGTCGTCATCGCAATCATTGTAGGGGCAGAGGACTGCGTCGATGTCATCTGAGTGAGGGATATTAGTATTGTAACTCGAATGTTTCGTCATCTTCTGTCAGTATAAATCCCAATTAGGTTGCAGCCTTGAAAAAGACAAGTTTACTTGTCGAAACCTTGGCTCCAACACCTGTCCCCTGTTAACCAATTTATTTTTATTGACAATATACCGGTATTTAAAAAAAATTTAGCCAATTGCTTTTTCTGTAGTGACAGGCATCCTAAAATTGCTGAAGACATCATTTGGGACAGTAATTAAGGCATTTAAATTGACTATTTAATTAGCCAAATAAAGTGGCAAAGTGAAATGGGAGAAGTTAAGTCGTTCATGTGAAGAAACTATTGCAGCTTAGAGATTTTGAAAAGGTGGCCTCTATTAATAATTGTGGCATATTGAAATTCAGGCGAATCTAATGGCAGAATCAAAATCAAAGCAAAGATTAGTGCAACAGGCAGACGACTAGCATGACGTTGCTGTTTCAAGACAATGATTAGAGGCATGCAGTTCTTTTCTGTTCATTAACGTATGTGTGTCATGCATGCTATTAATACTAGCGCAGTCCACACACCCATGCAACGAAGTTGGGTGATGGTTGATGCATATAACGACACTCACTCATTCTGGACATCCCAGGCGAATATGGCAGTTGCACTCATCTGCATTGCAGTTTCGCCACAAAATTCGGGAGAATTTTATTACTTACCAAATATTACTAGAGGCTTCTTTTTCGAAATCTAAGCTGCAAAAGGTTCTGCGCATGGAGAACTTGTATTCTGCTATTTGATTTTACTGCCGAACTTGCCAATAAAAAAGGTAATTAGTTTTTCTTTCAATTACTGTACTGAATGATGTCTTCGATCATCTTAAGGTGCCTGCCACTACAAAATATTGGCCCTGTATCTGCATGTTAATCTGCATATGTCGTCTAAAGACGATAGTCTTGTGTCTGGAGAGAGTGAACAAAACGATTATCTCATGTTCTGCGAAAGAAAATTGGTGAATGGTGTTCTGGAGGCGCTGTGTTAGTGCCTCGAGCTGTAGCGGAGGCGAACGAGCACATCGAGGCATATTAAGCACGAGCGCCATCTGGCAGTTCAAAAACAAAGGAATGCGTGCGCGCCCGGGGAGAAAAATGCACGCTTATCTCGGAGGTGATAAAGTGTAGAACGCAAAGCGACGGGCAGGTGCCACCACCGTGTCGTCTTAGCAAAGCGATGGAAGCACTTACCTTTTTGAGCATCGCATTGGACTGTCAACTGCGGTTTTTAAAATTACTTGTGTGTGCCTTCTCTAGTATAAAGGCACACATACAAAACATCGACGCGTTGTTACGATGCCTCAGATATGTGCAATAATAGCTTTTTAATTGACACAAGTATGAACACTGAACCTTGAGCAATATTGGTGGGCGTTGCGGATGGGGTTGGCTGTTTGGTGCCGTTTGAGGTATAGGTAAGAGCGGATAAACAGACAAAATTACAGACAGACAGACCAAAATTTTTTCGTCGAAGGCCCCCAAGAAAGACTGTAGTGTATAACTGCAAGAAATTATCTTGCAGTTATCTTGGAAAAAGCAATTATGATGACAGCCACCAAATAATGCACACTCCTGATTTTTGTAAAAAGCTATTGGACACATTTGTTGAAACAGTGTGTAGATGTGGGGAGGTACAGTCAAACCCCGCAACAATGAAACTGAAGAGGTGCAGAAAAAAATTCGTTGATGTTAGAATTTCGTTGTAGTGAAATTGAGAAAATAGAGCTGATCTGCACTAGCAATAGAAAGGAACTTTTGTTCCCGAAATTCAAAAAGTATCGGCTTCTTTCTATTCATTCCTAGCAGCGTCATGATGCGATTCTCACTCACGGACAGCAACCCCATGGTGAAAAGCACCCTGAAACAATGGCCACGACAGCTTTTGTGAAGGAACCTAACAGTTAAGTAGTCCGCTATCAAAGTTTCACCAACAGTGCCAAGATGGAGGCTGGGTATCGTAAAGCAGTGACTTTTGCCTTATTTTATGCTATTCTCATCCATCACTCGCAGGAGGCTGATTTTATTGATATTTCGGACGAATAGGCTAAGCACGAACGAAATGATATGCATTGGCATAAAAAAAAGCATTGTTCTGCGCGGATGCGTGAAAGAAGACCCTGAATTGAATGACTGAGCTTCAGCTTTAAATCGCCTGTGGCTCAGAAGCAAGAAAGTGGCAAAACAAGGGTAATCTTATTGCCATTGCTGTCGAGCAATGGCAACACCCATGCTTGGTAAACAGCGGTGTTTTCTAGTGGTGCCAATGTGTGTTCTAGACTTCATCGACATATTTTCAGGTTCTGAAAATGTATTAAAATGTTAAAGATTGTGTTTACTGCATAGCATTAAATGTCTGAGCCAGAAATTGCATCGTCAGATTTCATTAAATTGGAACAGCAGAAGAAAATGCATTCATGGTGGTGAGAATACTATCTACACCTTGACTCCTATGGACTGCTGACAGGGAACCAAAGATTTTTGATTGTAGCAGAAATTTTGTTGAAGCGGCAATCATTGTAGCAGGGCTCAACTGTAGTAAAATTCTCCACACATATTTATTCGTTGCCAAGTGTTGCATCTGTAGCTTCTGTGGAAATCTTGCTACATAGTTGTTTTTGACACCAAGTTTTTTGGGATTGTTTCTTTGACCAAAAGTGTGTTGTCAACGTAATTGCAGTGTACCTCTGCACACTTGGAGAAGACCCCAAGCAGCATTCGGTGAGACAGGAATTGGTGAGAACATTCTTTTTATTGCATGCTACCTTCCACAAACTACGGTATGAAGAAGTGCAAGTTAGTGCATGAGGTGTAGACAGGTTCGCATGAGGCTTGCTGGGCTAGTGTTGTCTGCAAAAGCCATCTCCTATCCTGGAATACAACAAAGCACTGCCACTGCATTCATCAAAGGTACTCTGAAGTGAACAATGAATTTGTTTAGGTTTATAAATTGTACTCTGAGAACTCTAACAACCATGTAAATTTAACCGCTATAGCTTTATTGATAAAGGAAGAAATCTGCATCAATGTCTCATTTTTTCAATTTTGCGTCACAGTGTTCGTATATGACGTTAATGTAGGGTTTGTATTTTTATGATGTTCGCACAACAATATATCCTGGAACTTTTTATGTTATGTCGCTGACCCCTTCAAAAGACTACAGTATTGTCCCTTCCCTTTGTCCCTTCCCTTTGTCCCTTCGCTTGTCCTGTGTCTCACATATTTTACGTGCTACATCATTAATTCAAAAGACAGACCACTTCATTTCTACTGATAAGTAGAACTGCATGATAGTATTGTAAACTGCATGATAGTATTGTTCTTGTCAACACTATGGTTATTGCTGCTGGAACTTCAAGGTAGCACCCGCATTAATTTTTGGTGCATTTTCTTGCTTACCAATCATGGTGATCTTGATAGGATGACAGATTAATTTTCTAGTATGAAAAAAATTATTTTCATCTTTGGTATCCCTTTCAACTCTCCAACACAGCACATAAAAGGATTGCTCAGGCCGTGCCTTCTCTCAGTAACCGAGGCAGTGGCATCTGCTGTTATCGCAAGATCAAAACATTTAAACTACTGTACATAGAGTGTGCATTAGGCGTTATCGGAATCGTCTGTGAATTTTCGAGTGTTTTATGGTGGAGTCCTCCAAGTCTTCAGCAATGTATTTTTATCTTGGAGATTAAGTTGAAAAAATGCGCATGATCAGATGAAAAAAAAATAAAGTATTGGGGAGGGGGGGAGTTTTATAATGAGTTTTCAAACCCATGTCCTCTAGGTCCGCGACAATCAATGCTGGGCACGCTATCCACTGAGTCATGATCACCCGCTCTGGAGGCTTTACAAATGTACTTTTATTATCTTACACTTTTCCTCACTGTGGTCAGTATGTGGGGATGTCACTGTTTGAGAGTGGCAATGTGAAATAGCACATCACGACCATAGCCTCGATAATCAGCTTCTGCAACACAATGTTATGCCTCCATCCCACTCAGTGCAATTTTAAATAGCATAGCACCGTATAAATGATGCTACAGCATCCAGGCACCAATAAAGATTGTGCAATTTCTCTTTGTAAAATAGTTGAATCCCGCGACAACAAAATTGACGGGACGCGTGAAAGAATTCATCGCGGAATTTCGTTGTAGCGAAATTTTATCTCTGCACCACAAAATTTGGTAATATCTGATGATTATGACTCGTTCTTTGGTCCCAGCAAGCATATGCATTGAACTCTCGCTAACTGAGCTTTACCTGGCCGAATACTGAGTGAACGTATTTATCAAAGTATACAGAAAATTTGGAGCTGAAGTCTGGGTGCGGGTTATACTAGAATTTAGGTGCGCAAGTTGACTTCACAGCAATCAAAAGAAGGCGGCCTTGCGTCAATACATGGCTAGTTTTTTCTTCCTCTGCGGTTTGCGGTCGGGGATGCTGGGTACATGCATATAGGGGGTTATGCAGAAGAAAATGCGATCTTCAGACGACGGCTTGGAATGTGTCAAGTGCACATGATCCTGCGAAAGCTTCTCTAGAGGCCAACTGTGAAATTGACGAAGCTCCGCACGTAGCCAAAAGTGTGCGATGGGAAAGCTGTATTAGAAGAGCACCTTTAAACAGTATTCTCTATCAATGAACAACGATACCGACCGCGGTTCGCTGCGCAGCAGTTGCAGCAAACAGTAGTTCCGTTATCAGTCTGCGCTCACTGCAGTGGCTGTGCGCGTTACTTAACCCCTTAACTGCTAATTTTTTTCAAAAATTTCCTGTGAAAAAGTGCCTTTATTTTTAATTGCAGATTTCAATTCTAGTTGTACTAAAAAGTAGCTGGTCGATGTTGAAAAAATATTTTCACCACATACTTGGTCAAATCAACGGAATAAAGTTTATTTCTGAGCAATACATAGGAAACGAGCTGCTTGCTGTTAATAAGATTAAATACCCTATAAATAAAACAGTTAGAGGCGTCACATCCTCTTCACTTGTGCAGGCCAAGCACCCTTGGGGTATTTCACTCGGGAAGCTTCGGGGCTGTGCGGAAATTTTCAAAACACGAAATAACGCAAGGCGACTTCACTGACGGTCACTTGCAATGTTCGGGTGCCAGCCGTCTTCATGATAACCGAAGGAGCTACTCATTCACTGTCATCGCTGTCTTCACTTCTAGACACAAGATAAATATCTGTACTTGAATCATCACAACAAGGAATAGCTTCTTTTTCATGATCACGGGTCAGCTATTAATGGATCGGTGCCACGGCACGCCCTCTTTCCATGAAAACACCGCGCTCCTCCCGCAGTAGAAAACTAAACCCTCGCTAAAATGCTGCCGTCTTGTGGATGACACGCGATGTCACACGTAGATGCACACTTCTCCGCCTGAACGCTAGAGGAGATTACCTATTCGGCTAGGGTGAGTTCTACTCATTCAAAGCAGTTTAGTGACAGTTTGGGCAGGACGAGCTCTTTTTGTCCAAAGCATTCAAGGAGTTTAGAACTGTGTCGTTTGTATCCTTGTTCGCATGGTCACTGCAAGAAATATTGGGTTGAGTTTGTGTGTGTTGACTGCCTGCATACTTTCGTGGTAGTCCATGACCTGCGTTCAACACGATTGCAGCATTTGCGGCAGAATGCAAAATTTCACTGGGGCTAGGTGCGTGCTGCTCGCGTGTACGCCTTCACAACGCGTGGTTGTCATTCATGATCACATGGCTAATGACAACGAGCGTTAGTTTTGTTTTGAGCACAATGTGAAAAACTTATGGCGAGGGTTCTTGAAGATAGCGATTCTGCACGAACTTCAAATCCAATGGCAGCATCATGGTGGATGGGTGAGCTGTCACCAAGCATCTCAATGGCGATAAATTAATCTTCGTGTGGCGGCAGAAAGTGTGTCTCAGATGAAGACGCGGTTGTTGCGATACGGCCGTGCGCTCTGGATGTCCCGAGCCATCGTAGAATGGCCGAGTTGGTAGGGGAATTTTGCGGCAAACCTACACAAGTTCCTTTTTTTGTAAGGTAGCACTCGCGAAAACTTTATTTCAAGAACAGTAATCGTTGGGACGAGACATTTTTCACATGTTTTCTATGGGCGGCTGACGGGGTATCGAAAATTATTCGTTGTGGTAGAAATTTCGTTGTAGCGAACTTCGTTATAGCAAGATTCGACTGTAGTAATAGCATATGGGGTTTTACATTCCAAAACCATGATATTGTCACCAGGTCGTGACGAAGGGAGCAGACTGTAGATCCAAGATGAAACTGTTTGGCTGAACTGTTTTATTTGCGGACGGTATGAGTTACGAGTAATCTTGCAAGCGTGCGAAGTCATACCCCTACTGCATACACGTGAGTATGTTATTTCATCTCTCCAGCAATCCTAGCCACATATTCAGAAATGGACAATGCAGCAAAAACCATTGGGCATACAGCGCAAGGGTTTGTTTCCTGCCACGACTGTAGCATTTACGCTGGCTGTCCCAGCGTTCGATTTTGCAATCTCCGGGCAGCTTCAGGTTGTCTCAGGTTCCCCACACACATGACTACGTTGCTGTTTCCTGTCACGACTGGAACTAGTTGTGTGAACATCTGGCTAGGTCTGGCTGCCAGAGAGCTGCCAGAGGTCTGAAAACTTGGAGATTCCTATCTTGGAGTCATCTTTTGGAAATGCATTGGTGGCAGTGTGAACGTTTAGCAAGATTGAGGCACTGTTGTATGTCGTGGTGTTTTGTCAACCACTTCTGCTGATAACCACATAGTTGTATTTAGTGCTTTCATGAAGTACAGTTTTCAGTATTCAGTAATTTGTTTATTTGCTAGTTATTAGAGAACACTCAAGTGCATGACCACTTTATTTTTGCATTATCGAGTGAAATGTGGAGTGCTTCACAGATGATTTTCTCCTGGTTATTTGTACTGAATTAAAATATTTCTCTTCTGATAAGAGACCCCTTGTATAAATATTTGGATGCCTGAATTTAAGTGCAACCTCTCCACTGTACACGGTGCTGTGAAATCACCTGTTGCGCAGTGCTCCAAAATGCAAAAAGAGCTGCTCAAAAGGTCTCCAAGTTGACAATCTTGCTGCTCCGAAAATTGCTAGAAGTGCTTGGTTGCATCACCACACTGCAACTATATTCTGGTTCACTGTAATGCCACTGCATCGTTGTGTGTGGCAGCTTGTCTGTACTTGAATGAAGATTTGAGCTGCTCACGTGCAGGACCGTGTGAAGGAGTACATGACACGGGCCAAACAAATCGCCGACAAAGCCAAGGCGCCCAAGCTGGTTGCCGGGGCTGCCCAACGCTTTGTGCGTAATGCTCTCTGGACAGCTACAGGTGAGTTGCTCGCATAGGGGCTATGTTGACTAACCATGCCCTGGTTTGCCATGCTGTGAATCGTGCTCATGGGGTGAGCCACTTTTTAACACAACCTGCAGTTGTTAGTCTGTGGACCAAATTATTCACTGTGTTTGTCAATTAAGAAGTGTGACTGATTGTCTTCTCACTGAGTGCTTTCTGCACCTACCATATGATAATTAAAAGGTGCATGTTGATTTGACTATCCATTGGCACCACTGATATGCAGCTTGCTGCACGACAGAGCACAAGTTAACGAAAACTTGTGCTGTTTTGCTGTTAAAAAAATGACGAGCCCTGGGTAAGCTGGACGACCAGCGAAGCTGTTTAGCGCATGGCACAGATATGTAAGGCCAGGCTGTTAGTGGCTGGGCTGTTTACGTTCAATAGGAGTTCTATTTTGCTGTTGGAATTTTGCATGTGCTTGCATGTTTTCTTTCACATTTTAATGACTGTGTCGTGCTATGCATGTATGACTAATGTGTTCTTGAGTCGGTAGTAAACAAATGCTGTGGCAGTACCATTTGTGTCTAGGTGACCAGCCAAGTATCTCCCACATTAGTGATGCTGGATTAGTTACTTGCTACTCAAGTTTCCTTCATAGGTGTAAAGAGCCATGCTTTCTTGAAGACATGTTGCATGCATCAATAAAAGACCAGTAAACAACCCTGAGTTCCGAAAATTGTTACGAAGAAAAATGGTGCGCACGTTTGCTATATGAGCATGCTTCTGCAAGAATTTTTCGAGTATGGGCTATATAAAGGAAGTTAGAGGGGTTAGAACATCTGTTTCAGCTGGTTTTGAATCTTCATGCGTTTTCACCACCCTTTTCGCCGAAGGACGAAAATGGTGTTGCCCATCATCGTGACACCGCTGACTTTGGCTACATAACCCGACGTCAACAATACGTCATGGGTGGGCAGCCAACGACCGAGTACGACGTCGTGGATATCAGCATGTGTCATATAGTGGTGTGGGGAGAAAGTGCGGTTAGAGGAGCACACTTCTCCTAGTGGTAAAGTAGCGAGATGCCTCTATCTTCGAGGTTTTCGTTCTGGCAGCACCACTTCTTCCGGTAGTGTCGGGCTAACCGCATGAAAATGCAGACTGCACGGCCAAAACTGCATCACCGCATGGCTAAGGTGCTGTTGTGTCAGGCAAAGGCTCAATCAACGAGCTCAGTGGTATGTGAAGTTTCTCTTGGTCATGCTTGCGTCACTGCGCATTCGAGGGGCTTGGTCACAAAAAAAGTGGCGGGGGATCGTTTTTCGAAATGGAGGGTCTGTGCGGAGTGCAGTGCTGTAATATTTAGGAAATGTGATTGTCGTGGTCTACTGTACGAATTGGTGAGCTTGTTTGGGAGGTGTAAAAAAATGAGTCAGAGTAAAAATGAAGTCGCTGGAGTCTATTTATTGGCCCTTTAACAGAGGAGCACAGCGCAGCATCTGGAGCACCATCTTAGCCAGTTTCAAGTGATGTTTACAGTGCATGTGCATCAGGTGCACATGCACTTGCAATTTAATTTGCTTGTGCTCATTGCTTGTGTAATTTTGCTTGTGCTCATTTTCTGCTTTGGTGGAAGCGTGGTACAAGTTAATGGAATGTTCCACAGGCTGATTTTTGACTGCCTACTACAGTCGAACATACTTACAACAATACTGAAGTGCCATAATTTACTGTAGTGCCATGAAAATTTTATTGTTATAACTAATAGTAGGTGTAAATGAGTTGCATGAAAGAAAAAAAAAGTACAGTTGAAACTTGCAGTAACAAGATTGCTGGGTAAAGCAAAAAATTTCAGTCTTCATGGGTGTGAACTTCATGGGAATTTAATATGTGTGATAATTTAGCAGAAGAGACAAGCAGTTGATTAAAAACACATCTTACTGCCAAAAGTCAATAAAATTACCTTGCCAAGCCTTTTCCTGTAGCGATTTTTTAGCTCTTGGCTCGCATTATAAAAAGGGACTCATTGCCACGTCATCATAGTGCTCGAATTCTGTCCAGGATATTCAGCATCTTGTGCAGGGTCATTCTTTTCTCTGGTTGTTTTGGTCTGGGACCATCGGGACTGCCTGCCTCACATATGTTCTGATTATGCTAACGTGGTTGCTTGGGCGAGTTGGTACGACATAATTCACATAAAAAACAGTGCCAATAACGAGGGACAAGAGAAAGAAGCAGACAGACAGCGGCACTGACTTACAACAAGATTTATTTGCTAGAACCGCACAATATATACTTGGACAGTATCTGACAAAAAAAAAGAGAAAAATACAAAACAAAGAAAACAGAATCCACCTAACAACCACGTAATCATCGCCACAACGCACCATGAACAACATGTGTGCTAACATTCCGAAGAAAATCTATTTCTTTTTGCGATAGCGCAATCGAAGGCCTGCTGACACATGCACTGCCCAGCCTTTCTATCTCTGCAGCCTCATAAATTTCACGTATCACCTGGTCCCGATGACGCCTAATGACGGTACAAAGCTGAAAATCGGGGACACAACCGCAGTCTCGGCAATGAATGCCGAGGTCGCCCGAAACTGTAGAGGAGACGTTGTGAGCGTGCTCTTTCAGCCGCTCATTTAAACTCCTGCCCGTTTGGCCGATGTTCCACTTGCCGCAGGACAGGGGTAGAGAGTACACCACCCCTTCAATGCATGGAACATACTTCTTCCGACGCTTGATTTTGCAGCCTCGCTCACTCCTGAAACCAGAATTCACGGCCCTGCACAACCTAGCCAATTTTTTTGGGGCAGAAAAAAACAGGTCTACGTCGCACCTATTGGCCACTTTTTTGAGGTTGTGGATGACGCCGTGGATATAGGGAATAATGACGAAGTTTCGTTTCTCCCGTTCCTTATCCTTTGTACGGTTTCGAGCATTATTCTCTGGGCTCGTTCTGATTTCTCGGAGTAGACACTCAGAAGCAACGGTCAAAACGTACATCGGGAAACCAGCTTATCGATCAACATTGCTATCGATCAACATCGATCAACATATCGATCAACATATCGATCAACATTGCTAAAAAAGCTTTGAAGTGCGGCGTCACCCCTTAAGTTGCAGTCCCAGTGTCAATAAAATAAGGGCGATTGTGGCCATTCCTTCCATGATAACATCGAGTAACTTGCATGGTGACTGTGCAGGCCTTGTGGAAGTCTCGAAGTTGGCAGTTCATGCTTGCAAAACTGCAGCGGCTAGTTTCTCCCGCAAGGGGACTGCCTTGCGGGAGAAAGGGGACGTAAGGGTGAAGGCAAGCGTTGGTGGAATCAAAACTGGTCGCCGATAGACTCGTGGAGGCGGTGGAAATTCTTAAGTTGGGATGCGTGGCATGATCAGTAGCTTTGTGTTTGGCAAAACGTGTCCGGTAAAACCATAAGCAATGTATTTGGGCCGGTTGTTGCGTGTGCGCCAAGGATTTTGAATGTACTGGCTTCAAAATTGCATTGGTGGCGACGCGGAAGGCCGGGCTATTTGTGGACATATTGGGGTGGAGAAGGTGAATGTTGGTTTTGGAGGTTGTGCCGCGACTGCGGCATAGGTCAAAGGTGCATCCACAGGTGGACACAATTGGGCCAAAGGTACTGACTCAGTGAATTAGAGATAGCCTTCTTGATGTGAGCAGGAAGATATGCGTCCGGCTGTACGGATTCAGAGGTAGCTTAGCTGGCACGCCACCTCTTCCAGTCTTTGATGTGGTTTACAGTGTTATAACGAGTGACTGTTGAGAGGCAATCGTGAGGCCCGAGAGCGACTTCGCAGATGCGACAGCGCTGCGCGCAAGCATCCTTTGTCGACGAACTCTGGCAAAAACTGATGATAGCTGTGACGGAGGCAGGGTTCCGCACAAGCAGCATGTGAAATGCCCCTCCTGCAATGCCTTAGAGGATATTCTTGGCTTTTTCTTCTTTGTGTATGGAGGCATTGACGCAAAAGAGCAAATACTGATGACATCCTGTGTGTAGCTCGTATATCTCCTGGGCTCTTAAGCGCACTGACGTACGCGTTCAGTGCAAAGATTTGTTAAAGTTAGGCTGCCAAAGACTTCTACGATTGCTGTCTTGAAGTCTGACTGGGTGAGAAGCTCCCGCTTATCGTATTGAAACTAGAGGTTTCCACAATAATGCTAATCTTGTGCACAGAAACAGATGCCCCAGCATATCTTCTTTTTGCTCTTCACTACACTGGTATCCTTAATAGTGGGTTCGACTGTGCAACTGTTTTGATAAAGGTTTACAGTTATTTTTGTGCCTCGACATAAGAAGCTGCTTTTATGTATTGCTGTGCCCTTGCTTTTCTTCATAGTTTATTGTTTTCTACTTGAAGAAGGAAAAAATCGTGCCTTTTGCTTTTTGTAGATGGCGGGCAGAAAGATGACCAAGAGCCACCACGAAAAAAGCGCCGGTGATCATTTCAACAAAACAGTGGGACCAAGTAGAGCAACAGCTTCATCTTCAAAGCAGCAAAGAAGCAGGCATCTGACTTCATCATGATGAGCTAAATCTAAGTGTTGGCATCATTAAAATTTTTGGTAAGCAGAACAGTAAGGTGTACTTATTCTGCTGCTGTGTTGCATTTTACACTGCATATTGCAGCACTTGAAATCTCGGCCAGCATAGAAGAATTCACCTCTCAACAAATGACACTAGTGCTTGTCTTGCACACACTTGTTAGTGATGAGCATTTCTTCTGCTATGCAGCTGAATTACACATGTGAGACTTGCCTTTTGTTCAGATGGGGTCAGAAACTCTCAGGAGGGTGGGTGGGAAGAACTTTCGTCACTCTGCACTTGCCCTGTTCTGTGTTCACGCTCCATCCTGGGTGTGTGAGTTCCAACTCAACCAGATACAAGCATTGCTCAAAGACGGACACAGAAAGAATGCCGGGGACGCGTACCAACTGAAAATGCGCACAACAGTGAAAAAGAAAGAAGGCACAAAACTAATATGCGCATGCCCATGCAATTTGGCAGACATCGGGGCTAATATAACTCTCAAGAAATCATCTTTATGCAAGTTAATCGGTAGGCTAACACATGTCCTATCACTATTATCGATATATGCCTCAATCATCAGGCGCGTTTCTTCATTCCTATGTGGGTATGAAATTTCGCACTCATCAAACACTAGCGGGCAGATCGCTAACCGGAGGCTCACCTTCTGATCCATCTTTACACATGTTGAGAATGTAAGAGCATATGTTCGATGAATGTGCCATTTCGTACTGATTCAACAATGAAGATCGTTAACAGTTATTTTTCATATAGACCCCCTCGGGATTAATAGGTTCATATGTCCCAAAGTTTTCACGCCTTCATTCTTTTCACACCTAATTAGTTATTTTATTTATTTATTTACAGAATACTGTCAATCCTCACGGAGATTAGTACAGGGGTGAGCATTACTGTCACAACTTTCGACGTGTGAAACAAGAAAAATCAGAATAATAAAGAACACATAATCACTGAACACAGCCCTACGGCATAGAACAATTATACATAGTTATTTAAACGATAACCAAGTACAAAGTACACCAATGGTACACGGACAAAGAAACGGGAGTTGAGAAGAAATGAAGCACAGAAAGAAAAAATACAGATCGGGTATTGTTATCAAGAAACCGTAATAAACAATAAATATGTGCAGACAAGTGCTTTGTTATGATAATTGGAAACAGGAAGGACTGAGTGAAGAAAAACAGGTGATCACTGGACATGCTAACTAGGTTAGAATAGATCAGTACCTTCAATTGGTTTCATAAAGTTCTCTAATGTTGGCTGCTGTATAATGACTGGATTCAGTGCGTTCCATTCTCGAATTACGTGCGGGAAAAACGAATAGGAAAAAGTATTATTACTAAATGAGTCTTCTTCAAGTTTCTATGCATGCCTTCGCCTTGTCGGTCTGGTGTCTCGAAAGTTCAAGTGGGCATTTGTGGTGTCCTGGCCATATTTGTGTGTCCATGCTTGCACACTCTGTTTTAGAAGGAATACGTGCCAGCTAGCTCAACTTTCTGTTATCCTAAAATTCTGTGAAAAATTCTCGCTGAAAGAAAAGTGCCTGTTCCATGGGGAAAAATACAGCTCTTTGTTGAAATGAGAAAAATATTTCACTTGTCTTCAGGAATACATTAAAATAAGCTGAAAAAGTATTACCATAAAGATCTCCTAAGAATCATCCTTGAGAAACCTAAAAACATTTGGAACATTATTAATTACACTAACAATCTATCACATAGGATTTCAGTGTCCAACCCTAATAGTACACGGCTATGAGCTGAGCTGTGCTCTGACCTTATGAATTCGCAGTTTTCTCCAGTCTTTACAAATGAGCCGCCTGATGTATCCCCTTTGCTTCCATGTATGGCTTTCCCCAGATACCACCTATCACCATAAATACTCAAGGTAAAGATACTTCTGTGGCAATTAAGGGAAAGTTAGGGGGCGGAGCTAATTTCTCTGTGTTACAAGTACAGTCAACTGCCAATTTTTCGGACCCTCTAGGGAGCGAAAAACCATCTGAAAATTCGGGCAGTCCGAAAAAATGAATGCAAGCAAAAAAACGCATTATTTTACTGATAATTTTCAATGCAAGCAAAAAAACGCACCATTTTGCTAATATTTCTCAATGCAAGCAAAAAACACACCATTTCATTGATATTTCTCGCATCAAGAGGGTCAAGGTCGAAGTAGCAGACTTCCGGAACTCTGGCAAAGCATCAGTGGGGTGGCTCTGAAAAGAGCCGTTAAAAAAATGCATGCAGACGACAGCGGGTGCCGTAAGGGCAGCCGGTGTTAGAGCTGCAGTGGCTTGAAAAACTTGTTGATCCTTGTTTGAACGGCGTTCTGCTTGCATGTGATCACATTTGCCTCGATCTGAGCAAAGGTCATGTCACCAGTGTACACCAATGACAGCATCATCAATGCTCGCATCAATTCGGCGGTCGTAGGTGGCGCAGAAGTTGGTTCCTGTTTTTCGACATCGGAGTCGTCTGAATCCGCCATAACCTGACTGACTATTTCGCCGTTGATTAGCTCTGCGCAGAAGTCTAGCTCGTTGTCTGCGTTGACGAACCACTCAAAAGCATGGAAGAACCAGCAGAGTGGAGGTCGTTGATAATACTGTTACGTAAAAATGGCACGAGGCGTGTCTATTTAAAATCTATATTCAAACTGATGGGTATGGCGTCGACTAAGATGGAAGACAGCACGCACAACCGACAGACCACTTCTTCGTTGTCGTCTTCTGACCGCTGATATGTCAGCTACGTAGCATTACCCCCCCCCCCCCCCCCCGGCGGTAAAAGCCCCGTCTCGGTGCACATTAGCTACGGTCTTCAGTAGGCAGGTGGTAAGGTTTTAGCCTGCTGACATGCACAACATCACTGGGTGTGGTTGCAGGCAGGCTTGTGGTCTCAAATGCAGGAATGATCTCATAGGTGACGTCGGTTACCTGGCGGATGATACGGTAAGGACCTCATAGGTGACGTCGGTTACCTGGCGGATGATACGGTAAGGACCCATGTAGCGAGACAACAACTTCTCTGATAAGCCAACTCGACGAACTGGGCACCACAGGAGAACAAGAGAACCGGGTGAGAAGTGAACGTCAGCATGCCGGCTGTCATAGATGGCTTTCTGGGTGGCTTGCGAAGCCGAAAGTCTAGAGCGGGTGATCTGACGTGCGTGGTCGGCACGAGCAATAGCGTCGCGTGCATATTCGGTTGACGGTATTGTAGTGGTTGGAAGTAGGGTGTCGAGTGGTAACTTCGGATCATGGCCATAAAGCAAATAAAAGGGTGAATAACCAGTAGTGTCGTGGCGTGAAGAATTGTATGCGAAAGTCACGTGAGGTAGCACCAGGTCCCAGTCATGGTGGTCGGAGGACACATACATCGCGAGCATGTCCGTTAGGGTCCGATTTAGCTGTTCGGTAAGGCCATTTGTTTGGGGATGGTAGGAAGTGGTCAGCTTGTGGTGCGTCGAGAAAGAGCGCAGAAGATCGTTGATCACACGGGACAAAAATGCGCGGCCACGATCCGTGAGTAATTGGTGAGGAGCGCCATGGTGTAGGATGACGTCGTGGAGCAAAAAGTCCGCAACGTCAGTAGCGGTGCTGGTGGGGAGCGCTCGAGTGATGGCATACCTAGTCGCGTAGTCTATAGCAACGGCGACCCACTTGTTGCCCGATTTCAACTCGGGAAAAGGACCGAGAAGATCTATACCAACATGGAAGAAAGGTTCGGTTGGGATGGAGATCGGTTGAAGAAGTCCAGCCGGGGGCGCAGTAGGTCGCTTCCTACGTTGGCATTTATCGCAGGAGGACACGTAACGGCGAACGGACCGGGCGAGACCGTGCCAAAAGAAGTGGCGACGCACGCGGTCGTACGTCCGAGATACACCCAGATGACCAGCAGTTGGTTCATCATGAAGCTCGTGCAGCACGGTTGAACGCAAATTTTTCGGCACGACAAGAAGGAGCTCAGGGCCATCTGGCTGGAGGCTACGACGGTACAGCATTCCATTCAGGAGGACGTACATGCGAAGTAACGTGTCGTTCGGAGCAGATTCGAGACGGTCAATAAGTTATCGCAGAGAAGCATCACGACGTTGTTCATCAACGATCTGAAGAAACTGGGACATTGACATGACGCTGAGGCTAGGCTCGATTTCTGGTTCGTCGGGCTGATCAACAGGGTAGCGGAATAAGCAATCGGCGTCCAGATGGAGACGTCCAGACTTATAAGCAACCGAGTAGGAATACTCCTGTAGGCGTAATGCTCAACGACAAAGTCGACCAGTGGGGTCCTTCAGAGAAGAAAGCCAACACAGCGCGTGATGATCTGTGATGACACGGAAAGGGCGGCTATACAAGTAAGGACGGAATTTCGGAACCGCCCAAACAAGAGCGAGACATTCCCGTTCTGTTATAGAATAATTGCGTTCAGACTTCGAAAGCAGACGGCTTGCGTACGCGATTACACGGTCGTTGCCCCGCTGAGTTTGCGCCAAAACTGCGCCAATTCCGTGACCACTCGCATCTGTTCGTACTTCTGTGGGAGCATCGGGGTCGAAATGTGCAAGAAAAGGAGGTGTCGTTAGAGCGGTGATTAGCTGAGAGAAGGCGTCAGCTTGAGGAGGGGCCCAAGAAAATGGGACGTCTTGTTTGAGAAAGTCGGTGAGTGGCCGTGCGAGTGCCGCAAAGTTTTTCACGAACCGGCGAAAGTAGGAGCAGAGGCCCACAAAACTGCGAACATCATGGGCAGGGCGTGGGACGGGAAGTTTGTTACAGCGCGTACTTTCGCCAGGTCTGGCCGTACGCCGACAGGGTCAACAAGGTGACCCAATACGGTAATCTGACGAAGACCGAAGAGGCACTTGGAGGAATTGAGCTGCAGGCCGGCCCGTCGAAACATGGATAGAATGGTCGAAAGGCGTTCAAGGTGGGTTGCAAAGGTAGGTGAGAGAATGATCACGTCGTCCAGGTGACACAAACATGTCGCCCATTTAAATCCTTGTAGGAGCGTGTCCATCATTCTCTCGA